ATGGACATGCGCGGCGCGCGTGCCGCCCCGCATATTAACAGTGCTGGATTTCAAATTTTTGTAGTATGGCGGACGATCATGCACTGCAGGTGCGGCACTTGGTTAGTATATATCAGTAATGCCAGATAAGGGCCGGCGGCCAAGACCCTGTCCATTGAGACATGCGCGCGTGCCGCCCCGCACGATAACTTAAGAGTGCTGGATTTCAACGATCAAAGTGACTATCATTATCAGGGCCGGCGGCGCAGGCTGAGCTTCCATCTCAGGCTCTAAGGTACACGCTGAAGTAAGATAGGTTGCTTCTCAAGGATTTGTTCGATTATAAGCAAAAAATCAGAGTTCTTCAAGTTCAACGGTTTGCATGCAACGGTCGAGTCTGACATAGTCCTTCCCACCCTGTCACGCACCTGATCAAAGGATATTGCCGCTCAATCGAATGATGGTCTTGTTTGGTTACAGTATGTAGTCGTCTAGCAGTCCTCAGAGCACCATGCTGTCTGTCCATGTCCGGTCAATTCAGAGCATGTCGCCAGTAAGTTCATCTAGGTCGGTCAGGTTATATCAGTCCTATCCCGCGAAGCACTCTGTAATCTGTGTTTCCGAGCTGCATATCCCAGTCCTGTTCTGCGCTGCAAATGTCTTCTATTTTGAACAGCGGGCCCGTTCTCTTTACGCCGCTTCTCCCCAGTCCTCATGGCTCCACCTGCAAGCCCAATTTAGGATCCTTTGAGCAGGCTGCTCACCACAAGCCATAATATAACCCTGAGGTGGAAGGGTCAACACTCTATTGCGACGTCTTGTGGTAATTTTGTTTTGAGTATTTTCCCTCAATCCCACAAGAAGCCGGGAGCCGCTGTTGTTGCGGGAAAGGTCATCGTTAGCTCCTTCTCCGGCGCACTTTCCGCAAGAAGGATACGAATATGGGGAGCTGCCGTGGGAGAAAGTCTTGGGAAATCTCTCAACAAGGCTTCGTCTCGACATTGTGATCGATCGCGAACTGTGGTGAAGTTTCCGGACCCACACAACACTACCAGCTGGTCGTACTCGAACCCAAAACAAAGCCGCACGAAAGAAAAAGCAAGCGACGCGTATTGAATCCGTCGACTGATTTCATAGGCTAGCTCCAGAGAAAAGTACAGATCCAAGTCTTTGAGCCCTACGAAACACAGCTCAAAAGACGAAAGCAAGTCATCAACTGAGCACTTTCCGACATTCCACTGCGTACTTTGATCTCATTGCATCCTCTTCCGTCAAGTTTAAGGTTGACAGGGTGTCAAGAGGGTGCTAGCATGCCTGATGATGTCTGATTGCAAAGCAACACAGGTCCTGATATACATGTGAAAACCTGAATCAGAACAGAAGATTTCCGCGTCTGGTTTCCGGCCAGGTACTCACTTGCCGTACTTGTCCTTCATCTTGTCCGCCAGCTTCTGCGTCCGCGCCTTCTCCGTCCGGTCCGTGTTCTTGTCCGCCTTCGCCTTGATGTCCATGATCACCTGCAATCCTCAGGAAGGATAATAATGAGGCAAAGCTATAGCAAGCCAAATGATCCCTAAAAAGGTCAACTCGGCACTTGGAAATCATCGAAAAATAACTTCCAATAAAAAAGTAGTCCGGATCCCGTACATCGGAAGGGTCACAAAACGACGTTCATAAGTTGACAGTTTCCGTGGGCGTGACAATAAGTTGAAAAGGAGTAAGCCAAGCTGTACCTTTCCAAGATAAAACAGGCCAAGATTGTTTCAAGCCAAAATAGCATAAAGCCAACACAATGATACAACTGAGCTCAGATCAATTGGAGATGCACCTGCTCCACACCCCCTATCCCCACACTAACCCCACCTGTCCAGGTTATCTTTACTAGACCTTGAGATCGAATCATCACCTGTCTCCGCTCGCCGTTGTACTCCGCCAGGTCGATGTACCGGTCGTCGGGCAGGCAGCGCCGCACGATCACGCCCAGTACGATCTCCACGATCTGGACACGTGGCAGAGCCGTGAGGTGGGAAGACACGTAGTGCACAGCGAAGTATCAAGTGCTCGGGTATGGCCCAATCGAGTGATGACAGAAGGCGCCTTTATGCACTGCCCTCGTGTTCCGGAGGCGTAGCGGGAGGGGTTAGCGAAGTTCGAGCAAACGCGGTCCAAACAAATGCCGACTGTCTGACGCGTTGTCGTCGTTTAGTCCGGAACGTTGCGGAAGAATACCCTTCGAGCGTTAGTCAATGACGGGGGACAAACTAGACTCATGCGGCGATTGCGAGGCGGGCAAACCGGATGTGCGTACGCGGAGCCATCTGAGGTGACGTCAGAGAGCGACGGCAAGAGTGGCTGACTCGTCTTTAATCGACCAGCTTCGTGCGTCAGCAGACTTTCGGGGGGTGGCTTCCAAGCCCGGACCGCATTCGGGTTAGCGCAGAACGATCACGTGGTTGCACCGCCCCCTGCACCCTATAAGACTATGCCTTCACCCAATTCCGCGAGTCCGCCTGCGATTGCTCAGATCTTCACCGAACAGGCCATTTCCACGAATCATTCGAAAGCCAATGTCAGGCGACTTTCGAGTCCAAAAGGAACGTCTTTCAGACCCGTCAGAACTTGGGCTTTGCAGCATTTTAGAAGGAGAAAGTGGCCCAAAAACCTATGCCTAACCATTCCAGGCACAGCCCTCACCTCAGCGAGCAGCACGGCGAGGAACGCCCACGCGGCGCCCTTGAAGAACTTGAGCACCTTGGGGTCCGAGAAGCGCTTCGGGTTGAAGTGCGTGCTGTCGGTGATGCGCCGCGCCTGTACGGGGTCGCGCTGAGTGTCACCGGAAGATGTATCAAAGCAAAGAGACGCAAGGATGTGTCGTTTATGTGTGTGTATGCGCGTATGTGTGTGTGGACTTTGACCGAACGCTTAGTTGGTCAAGGTTCGGACTGTGCTCGGTAGTGCTGGAATCCTCCAACCTTTAACCGTCCTCGCAACTTGCCCTTCCCGGCTCGATGGCCTGTCGAGAGTCTGGAACAACAAGACAGGCATGATTTTGACCTAGGACGTCCACGTTTCGTTGTCTTCGGAGTCTGCTTGGAACGAGAGGGAGCCCGAAGAGCATGGACTCCTTTGTCCGGATCTTAACCTCTCTCTGCTCAATGCTTGCCCAATTTACGGCCAGCAAATCTGTCTGCACAACATACTCCCGCCTTCGGTCAAGGAGTGACAGCGAAGGATGGCTTCAGACCCTGCGACGAGCGTTCATGTGCCACTGTTTTTAGACTCTGGCAGCTTTCGAAAGGCCCACAGAAAACGGGAGCGAGCTGCCGCTCCAAACGGGACGACAGCTGGGGACGTTTGTCCCCCTTTCTAGGCATCCTTTGTTTGGCTTTGTCCCAAACTACGATGACTCTAATCAGGCGCCTCGAAGACTCGTTGGTTGCAAAAATGGCAGCTCCATCGTGACGACGCGTGATGATGCAACAGATTCTGCCTGTGCCCGCTTTCGTCAGAGCATCGTCAGGTACAAAGCTGTGGCACTCTTACATTTAACGCTCTTACAACACTAAGTCCGTTTTACAGTCACTACAGGCTTGCTGGTTTTAGGAACAGAGCTGTTAAAGGCAAATTGCTTTTGTAAGACCGATAAGGTGATCATTCATTGGCGGGTTCCGGTTACTTACGTTGACGAAGGTAGCGAGCGTAGCGGAAGCGCAGCCAAGGATCGCGAGGGCCGCAAACCCGAGGTGGATGATGTAGAGCGCAACGTTGGTGTCAGCAGCAAAGCCAAAGACGCCGGCCAGGAGCGTAATGACACCAAGGATGATGCAGGTCCTGCAACCGGGCGGGAAGGTTGCGGCGGTGTCAATCAGAAGTAGGATTGGGGGCAGAGGTTTCGTAAGCAGGGGTAGAGTTTGCGCAATGCATAACAATCTCCTTGATGGGCATACTGAAAACGATGGGGTTGCTGTCCGCCACGAGTAGATTGTAAACAAGCTTAGAACACACGTCTCATTGGGGCGCGTGGCACCAGCAAACAATGCAGAAGTGTAATCTCAGCTACCTGTTATATTCACTCCCCTCCGGCCTGCACTGAAGCAACCCTGGAGCTTGCTCTGCCAAGGCTGATATCTCATTGCAAGAGTAATCTCTTAGACTGTTCTATATTCGAAGACACGAGAGCGGTCTCACCAGCCAGGGGCGACAGACGGTGCACCGGGGCTCTCCAGCAAGATGACCATGATGATCATGCAGATGCCTCCCAACTGCAACAACAGCGCATCATTCAGTAGTGCTTCCATGTTCTTTCCTTGAGGTTCAGGAGTAACATCCAGATTATGCAGTCTCCAAAAAATTGCTACTATCTACTGCAGGGTATCCCTTCTCAATTTGCTATTTTGGCAGATAAGAAACTCTGTTTGTTTGCTTCATATGTCCAGGAACAGGCTCAAGTTGCATCATTCCCTGTCCATACAGACGGCCGTTGGTGCGACGCGGGTGGAAAGAAAGGGGGCGGGCAACTTGCTGTGACAGTTGCACGCAGGGCACGGAGTGGAAAACCCTTGCTCGATGCCTAGGTTTCAGAAACCCCATGCCCTTTGCCAGTGACGACAGACACCTCAGATGCAATCGGCCCTCTGCCTTAAGGGTCTTGGAGCATAAGGAAAATGCTAATCCTACGACTCCTGCTTGCTTTGTAGCGCTGCCCTCAGCCTGCCACACTATCTGCAGCCAACTAACGATGGCAGACTGCATACCAGTCCATTCCAAACCCTCCTTTTACTGCAAACTAAATGCAGCCCTGACCAGAGTCAGACAGCGCCGTCTACTGCAATGCTTCTATAAATCTTCCTCTCAAACGTCATGATTGTCTGCACCAGGAGAGGGGGTCCAGCAACTCACAACGACAATGCCATTGAGGATCTTGATCAGAAGCTTGAACGCCGACGCCGTTGCGGCGGCAACATTGATCTTCCTCCTCGCCATTTTGCAATGCTGTCTTCTCCTGACGCCCTCAGCCTCAGATTCCTATTAGCGTCTGGCGCTTATTCTCCCTTCTCCTGCCCTTCCTGGCCTTAGCAGCATGAACAGTCTGCTCTCCCAATGCTGCAAAGCGTTTCACTACTGCCAGCCCTTCCAGAGAAAGGTGCCAGTGCTCTTCTCTTCTGATTTGTTCGGCCCCTCTGGATCTTTGCTGCATTGGACAGCCCTGCCTAAAGAATCTTTGCAGGCAAGTGTGAGCGCGTGCCATTTTAGCGAGAACTGAAAAGGCTTTAGAGATATCTTGCCAGCCTGAACGGAGAAGTACTCTTTAGACTGTTGGGCGCTTTTCAGCGGTACAGTAGGTACTGGAAGTGTTGGAGGATACCTAGAGACCTATCCAGGACCTATCCTAGCTCTGAGCTTGCACAAAGGAAGCGCATGGACTCCAGAGCGGTTATATTTGTCACTGATCACCGACGAACCCGCATATAAATGAACCGTTGATTGGAGGATCAAAATTTTATCGACGGCCACTTGGTGACTGGGTTAACATGCGCGCGCGGAAAGAAGTTGGAGCCAGGTTGCAGCGGCGGCTCGTTCGCGAGGCCCGTAGCGAGGTCTATACCAATCCTATTTAACAATAGAAAGGAATTAAATACGTTGGCGGATGCATCCGCATTCAGCGACCACTAAGGAAAGACTGATGGTGTTTGGTCGCCGAGATGGTACCACGTGGTCATCTGCTGATGTAGATTTCTGGCAACCAGTACCGTCCCCGTACCGTCGCTCGGCGCGCTAAATATTACTGTCTTGTTGGTGATCCCGGGATCACCGGGCCCTGATCAAAGCCAACTTTCTGCTTTTTGCAACGAGAGCTTGCGCTAAGACGTCGCGACCACGCTGCGACGAATTTGGGCACGGGCCCGCGCCCGCTCTCAAGAGGGAGCAACGTACGATTTCTCATCGGAGGTGCCACAGTACTACGGGAAAAATGGTAACCGCACAACCTCAGTGCCACTGGACATTTATGAAAATTTTACGACCTAAGAAATCGAATCGTTTGACCCAATGGAAACCCTGGAATCTGAAGGCTGCCTACGGACTCGCTCAAGGGGAGATCCTAGAGTTGTCACGGGTCAACCAAACGGCGCCCACTTTTGCAATACCAGCTTCAGAAGAACCATACACAAGCTATCTTGAGCTGCAAAAGTAGTTTGGCTCAGGGTTGCTATCTTTGCTGGCCGAAAGTCAGCTTTCCCTCCATCTCTAACTATGGTACTTGCTTCGACATCGAATCGCAGAAGACTAAAAGGGATGCAACGTATGCACCTGGTATTCTGGTGGACTTGGCTGGTGAAGTGACCGTTACTTGGACCTGGGAATCAATTAGATGGTGCCGAAAAGAGACATGAAAAAAAGATACTGATATAAAGGATATCACTAGCAAGCTTACGTGCGGGCCAGAAGATACTGACCCGTCCCCAAGTACAAAATGATCGGAGCTAGTTGGAAGCAACCCGAGCGATCATCGTTGTCCAGAACTCATTCGTAAAAAAGAATTAACTAGGTAGGGGAGTCTTCGACGTGCCTGCGAAGATCGACACGTCGAAAAGAGGTGTGGCACGAAAGGAGGCGGAGTAGTTCCGGCCGGGCTCTAGGACAGTTCAGCAGACCCCAACCTCAAGGACTGGCGAGATCAACCGGATCCTGAGATTGAGCAGGACATAGTGCGGCCTGAAAATTATCTAGCGTAGCTCCGAGAACGCCTGTCATGCCTGTTGAGCTCGTCGGCGAACCCAGTTTGATAACACTCGTCACTGCCATTTCATCATGGAATATGGGGATACGCTCCGTTCAAAGAGAGTGTCGCGTATCAGAAATCTCAGCGGGCAAAGCGTATCCCAATGAGACTATCAGATTGTAACACCCGTCTGTTCTGTATTCGCTAGTACTTCAGCACCGCTGATGACGACTTCGAAAGAACAAAGGCCATCTGGACGTTCATTCTAAAGCGCACCCGTCTTCTCTCTGACATTATATGCAGAACTGCGTGACTTTTGACAACGTGTCCTGGTAGTGCCGAAGCTTAAAGTCAGCATAGTAAAATCACTTCAAAACACCGGAGTGCATCACCACCTTCGAAAATCCGAAACTTCAATATGACTTTGAGAAACTTCGATCAGATGAAGAGATGGCTGACAGTAGATTGGCTTCTGGGCGCTGCCAGTATGTTCAATCCGGCATGCTGACCCGCCTTTTTGAAACCGTCACGACCGGACAGAATCATGAGTTTACATGGATGCGAGGAGCAAAACAACGAATCTGGAAGGCGAGACTCGCAACTTAGAACCTGCTCATGAAGAGTGCGTCCGTAGTCGTAGCTAGAGTGTGGCTTTTCTCTGAGACTAGTACTGGACAGCGAAAGGATGATCAGTCAATACGATCATCCTCTTCTTGAAGTCAGCATTGACCAGCGTGCAGCTCAAGTCTGTCAAGTTGATGTCTAAACCCAAATTCATCGCTAGCGCGCTGGCGTATACATGTACGGAACACACAAGGACATCGTAACATCTGGCATGCATGCTTCCCGCAATTGACATTGTACGGCTCGACCCTGTGAATGGGGGTCCACTTCATAAGAGCTTGGCATCAGAACTACGGCCATGTTACTACTCCGCCTGCGGATTTTGGCCAGGCCTCCATTCACTGCCCAGTAATTTTTGCCAAGGTTTCTTGCATCCGGCGGCGCCTGAGGAACCCCAAAGAGGGAAGCAACCAGTCAGATGAGTCATGCAAGGGCTTCAAGAGAAGTCAAAATTGAATTCTGAGCACTTATCGTGCGTGTTGACGTAAGGCGGACGAATTCAACAGGCATTGAACAATCGCTCGCAACAGAGCGAGCATTTTTACGGCCAGGCGTCATACATAAGAGTCCTTGTGGTCAAACATGTTGATCTACAAAAGGCGCTCGCGCGCGCGCCCGCGCGCTTGGTGGTTGTGGGGTGAGCGAAGCGTCCGGAGATCATGAATGCGCCTTGGCAGTTCTATGTGAGAGAAGATATGCGAGAGCCCAACGTATGCAGCGCGCTATGAACCAAGTTAAACCGTAATTCATGCAACACGACAACTCAACAGCCCAGAAATCTGAATTAAACGGCTCTGAATTCAAGAGGCGTGACAGGGCCCGAGCTGTGCAGTCGGAGGGAGGATCCTATTTGCAATTGGTAGATTACTTGAGTCATCCAATTGGATGGGCGAGGTGGTGCATACGACATCAAAGGTGCGTACAAATACTTAAAGACAGCCGCCTCTTATCAAATGAGGGACTGTAAACGTGAAAGACACATCACTTTTGAACGAACTCGACCAGCCGGACAAAGTCGGTGAGTCAAGCCAGCTTTGCAGCTGGTCTAGCAGGCCCTGAAGCAAGGGCCGAAAGAATGCCAACAATTGGGCCTTAATAGCAACGCATCCGCCTCGACGGAACACGTGAAAGTAGCGCAACCCGTCTACCAGATGCAACGATGTTTGGAAGCAAATCGGGTCTTCATACGGAGGCCCCCGAGCACTTTTCCAGAAGAGTGGCCAAGGCTCCGGCGGCTAGGTAGTCGGCAGCAAGAGACCGACAGCCTCGACAGTAAACGATCGCAAGCGCTTATAAAATCCAAAGGTCTTTCAAAGTCAAACCCTTGGGAATGCAAAGAAGAAGAACAGGGAACGCAAACATGAGGTGCAGCCCGGCTCATCTTGGAGGCCCAATCGCTGTCAGCGCGTGCTGAAACCGCTCGCTCCAATGCTATTATCGTAGCCAAGTTTTGCTGGAGATAGACCCCTCTAGAGTACTTGCGCGGAAAATGTGGACGGCGTAGAGCGAAGGGATCTCATCACCTGTTGTATTGGCGCCACTGGGCGCTTTTGGACACGACTGTGCCTTATAAAGAGTGATTCAATTCCGAGATCGGTGACAAGATAGAAACGAGGGGAGCGTCATAGGGTCCTGACGCACGAGCTCCCAGTCGGGGCCAAAGAGAAGAAAACTTTCGAACACCGCCCAAATGCCCCCCCGTTTTCGCTCGCTCTCAGTCCAAGCCTCTCCTAGACTTGTTTCCAGGCAGTTGTTGGTAATCTCGACTATTTTGGGCGGCAGTTTCAGTCATTGAAGTTTTGAGAGGCATCAGAATCAAGATAGCTGGAAAGGAAGTCTCAAGCGGGAAGGTACGATTCATGGCCAATTGTTGTTTGTAATTCTTGGTGAGATGCTTGTAAGCGGGAGTCCTTTACTAAAAACTTGAACAAGCGGTCAGGAAAAGGAAATCAACATTACCGCTGGGATCAATCACGTCGTACATCGAAAGAGGGTGAAAGTTCCAAACAGATTTGCAATCCGCTTTACAAGGAAGGATGCCTTTGACAGACAATCCTGACATGAAGAATCGTCAGATCAATCGATCGTAACTGCAGCATCATGTTTTTTCATAGGGCAGAAGCTTAAGCACTTTCGTAAGCTGCCCAAAGTGCTTCAGAACTGTCACGGCCGACGGTGGCCATGCATGGTGTGCAATTTTTAATACCTTAACCACCGGCCTTGGCCCAATCAGACACTGTCACGCATGAAGCTTCCCGCTTGCGGCTGTCCGAGAGGGGACGTGAGCCTGTCTCTAAGCTGCATGTTGACCACAGAAATCTGACGTGGGCTGCACGTTTTAAGTTTTGCTCATAGACAGCTGTGTACGCGCATACGGCAGTATGCGCATAATGAGAATAAAAAATGTGCACACCAAAGTACCGCCAAAAGTTTCAATCCTTAAGACAGTATTCCGACCGAGACGGGCAGAGCACAAGAATCGCATCGACCTCACATGAGAACGACTTACGGCCATACGTCGGCGTCAGACTCTTCTCGACCCGCACGGGTGACTTTTTGCTCAGGCAAAGAGCCAAGAGGTCAAGTATCATCCTCGCCAAACGTTCACACATCCTAACAAACGTTTCTAGTCGTCAATTGCATTGGAATTGACTTATAGGGTTGCTAAGTGGGTAGTAGAGGGCGTCTCAAATTACCCGAACGACCCACCGAGAGGTGGGGGCTTAAAAGGGGCCAGTCTGCGCGGATCATCACAAACGCTCGCAACAAACGAAAACGTACGTCGGCCCGAAAGCCGAAACTTCTCTAGAGCTCGAGATGCCCGGTGGAGGTTCGTCTGTCCGTGGCAAATCACACCAACACATGTTGCATAAATCTGTGCTCACGTTGGCACCGGCACCCAGTGGCCAGCAGAGCAGGGAATGCCCAAGAAAATTGCGTGACTTGTTTTGATGCCGTGGTGCCGATGCAAACTAGGGAGCGAAATTCCACAACATCATGCACCGTGACATAGAGCGGAACGAGTGCCGGGTCAATGTACAAAATCCTTGTCA